TTATTTGTTATTGTACAATATTTAAATATGTCAACTCAATTATCTAGACGCTAGGCTTTAGGCTCAATCACGATTATTACAAACTTCGTTCTATAATAACTAAGGCTGTAAATAAACATAGAATAATAATAATAATGATAATATACATAATATATATACATATCTTTCTACATATAATACAGCTAGATCCCAAAAATACATAACCTATAGCCTATAGTATATACTATATATATATATATCCCAAAATATATAACTATGAGGCATAATGAGATAAATAGTGGCTGCCATACACCATCCCCCTTCATCCCAAATTGGGAGTCTAAGGTGCACCGAAATGGTCACCGATCCTGGGACCCTATGGGACACTTATCTGGTTGGTGGTTGAGCCACCCCTCTGAAAATATGAAAGTCGGTTGGGATTATTATTCCCAATATATGGAAAAATAAAAAATGTTCCAAACCACCAAACAGATATGAATAATGATCCACCGCTTTGCTCAGCGCTCGAAATGAAACACAGAAAATTCATGCTAAAAGCAGTGACCAGTCGCATCTCGAAGAGATTCACAAAGCCAGCTTCTGCATGTGCGTGCGCCTCTTCACAATGCAAGCCTTGCTTTTCCAGCGCAGCTGAAAACTGATGTACCCTCTGGTAATTTGACATAGCTATTGAAAATTGCCATAGAAATAGTGGATTTACACATTAAAAATAAAGTGATGTTCCATAGTTATGTAACAGTTTACCAGAGGGTAAAATCAAAGATCAACATATCCCATCCATGCCGCACTAATCCCATCCCTATGAAACCACCAGTTCACCAGGTGGAGAAATCCTTAGTGAACTGGTGCTTCGAGGGGTTCATGCAAGTGTATCTAGGAGGATAATCGATCCTGTAGGTGTACCTGGTGTACCTATTCTAATTCATCGGTTTACATATATCATGTATGTATACATATTACATATATGATATATATGTGGGTATGTATAAATATATATATACACATATGTACGCCCTATACATGTACATATGTGTTTCATATATTCTCAGAGTGCACGCAGCAACCACTGGCTTCATGAAGTGCCTTTTTAGGCATGAATGAGGGGGAAATGATCATACGGCCAGAGGGGTGACCCATGTTGTTCTCACTGTTTTAGGTGCCATTGAACCGGTGTCCTTTCCACGTTGACAGTAGTTGGTGCCTTCATTGAAGATTTGACAACCGTGTTTATTTCACACTCTGGGAATTTAATATAGCTATGGAAAATGGATGAACAGTGTCCAGGACTAGTTCGATGATTTAGCCAAAAAAAATGGTGATGTTCAATAGCAAACTGTAAGCCTTTTGCCGGTCATCTCCCCCTGGTCCGCTGGTCCAATAGGTCATCAGATCGTGATCATTGGACTTCTGGGGGAGTAATCTGTAAAAATAGGGATAACTTATGAAAAAAACACTTATAATAAGTCAACCCCAATTCAATTTAGTTATCTTTTTCGAAGTGACTAACTGTCCATAAGATAAGGATTAAATTTTAATTAAATAGTCTAAGATCTATTAAGACTAATTCAATTATCATAAGTCATCACTATTTTGACGATCATGACTAATGTCAACCCTGGGTTAATAAACCACTAGGCTCTCTGATTGGGGGGCACCAATTAAGTATCATGAAGTTATTATTATCATCACATGGTATTTAGAGGATACCCCTATTAGGGCCCATAATTAGCTAACCATGGTTTATTCATCCGGGTTGACTTGATATATGTATCATATGAATCATGGGACGAACTTCCTCAGCTACTGGGATGATCATCATTCATGATCCAAGTGAGCCATTACAAAACCACATTCCAAAAACACCCCTCCCTATCGCATCTCCCAAAAACTCGTGGGTTGACAACGGCTTCTCTAAGATGGGTTAGTTCATAATCCCAAATCACCAGCTAGTATAACTCGTTTCAATAACCAAGCAATTTGAGCAGTGCAAAAAAATCCTCTGCCATTCCATTGAATCCTGGCTGAGAATGGACTTGCCATTTTATGGATGGTGATATTCCCCAGTAGATTGGTTAGTATAATCCCAGAATTAATCTAAAATATAATATAAAATAATATAATATAATATAGTATAATATAATATAATATAGTATAATCAACCAACCATCATTCATCACTCTTATCCCCGTATTCTTATCCCCTTGTTCTTGGTGGTTAAAGCCCATGAAGATAAATCCCCATCAAGTACCCTCCAGTAAATTAACAACCCTGCCAGATAGGGGTTGGTTCATATTAGTTTCCACTAGATAAACATTGGTGAGAAATCAAGTCCAACTCTTAATTTACCAGAGGCTGAGTATAATCCTCGTAACTTCACTGTTTTTAGAAAAATCAGTTGGAGCCTGATTTTCTCACCAATGTTTAGTAACCTCGGGTAAAGTGGGTACAGTAAATTAGAATATATAACTAACCTGAATTGTTGGGCCATCTGGGGATGATTTCCCATATAAAAACCATGATTCCAGTGAGGGAGAACAGTTAGGTCGTTATGATTTACCCAGAGTTATGGATCTAACCCGGGTCGTGGCTCTCCCCATCCCCGCGGATCACCGCCCGCGATCACCGCCCGCGACCGAGGAGCACAACGCCGCAGTGTTGCTTCGGAACTGCGAGCGGCGCTGCTGCAAGCCTTCCTTGGGCCTCGAGTTTCTAGGGAAAAATATGTGGATATCGTAAGGATATATCATATTTAATAGTAGGGATATATATGATATAATAAGGATATATAATATAATCTATAATATCATAGGGAATATATAATGATATAATATGATATAATTTGCGACATCATTTGGGATATAATTGGTTTTAATGAGGCTATATTGGGGATGGAATGGGAATGCACGGAATATAACCAACAAAAATGAGAATACCATCTGGTAATTTGTGACAGTTTGCTGTGGAACATCATAATTATAGATATACAATGGGCCATTGTCCGCAGGTATGTGAAATTACCAGAGGGTATATATTCCTCATATATACCCTCTGGTTATGTCAAAATAGCTATTGAAAATGGCCCATGAATAGTGGATTTTCCCATTAAAAATGGTGATTTTCCATAGCTATGTTAGTTTACCAGAGGGTAAATATCCTTGAAATTTCATTCGATTGTCTTTCCAAGATGACTCAGATGGTTCCAATGGTTCAACAATGTTCAACATGTGCCATGGTCCAAACATGTTGTATGGAGTATGGTCATCCCACCATCAGAATGGGATTCCCAAACCAATGGGTATAGATATATATATATATATATTATATAATATAATATATATAATATATATAATATATATATATAACATAAATCTCTATTCTTGGATTGATGACAGTCCCCTTTTATGGGAAACTAGTCCATGCTTTGGCCATGTGTCCAAATGAGCGGTTTTCAAAACCCTCTTTCATTCCATTATACTGGCTGGTTAATAGGATGTCCCCAATAGATTGGATAGTATATATATAAATATAATTAATCCTTATTAATACCATTAATTATAAAGTTATATCATCCTCAATAAACACATCTTTGAACAGTGCTTAAATGGTGCCGCCTTGTCCATTTCCGACACATCCGCTCGCTTGGTCGTCGGATCTGCCTCGTCTTCAACTTCTTTCCATCCTCGTCTCCGACCTGACGCGTCCAGTCTTACCATACCACGGGTAACAGTGACATCGAATGAAGTGGATATCTAACCCAAATGCTCCATGTATGGAATATTTACCAACATTGGCCGAACAAAATCACCCAAATGTAGGTAAATATTCCGTACATGGAGCATATGGGTAATAGGATATATCAATCATATTGTGCATTTGGTGTAATCAATGTGTAATCCAATTTGATCTATGTCTATGTATGTACAAAAAATATCGTATCCTGCTCGGAATTGATTGGATATTATTGACATATCATGTCTGTTCGCATTCGAGTTGCGATACTTGGATCCGTGATCCAGCTACTTGGAGTTGCTGTCACAAGAAATCCAGGAGCACAACATCCATCCGCCAAGAAAAATCTGCGTAAATTGTATGGTACGTTACAATTAATTTCACTCACCTGGAATAAAACACTCACCATTTTGGGATAGTTACCTCGTTTTTTCCCTACATGATCATCGTTGCAGTGTCGTTATCAGTTGCCCAGAAGCCGCCTTGGCCATGCGTTTCGGAAATGCTCACCACGTGGAGACCGAGCCGAGGACCGGTGACACGACACGATGACACGATGACTCTGCGGTGCTGAAGCCAAAATGGCCCATTAATAGTGGATTTTCCCATTAAAAATGGTGATGTTTCAATAGCTATGTTAAATTACCAGAGGGTAATGTCAACCCCGGATTAATAAACCCTGGTTAGCCTGGTTGATTAAAAAAAAGGTTCCCCCAAATGTGGTGATTTGTTACGCCTGAAATGGTACCCCTAAACCCAATTTTTCGTCCCAGCCGTTTGGGGTCGAGGAAAATGTGGGGTTGGCATTACTGGGCCTTGATGGTGCAGGTGATTTTAATGTTATATATATATGTATATAGAATCTACGAGTAGTGACTTTCGGAGGGTATTCATCAACTCGAAAAAAACATGTCTTCCTTTTGATGCGTTTTTTCTTTGAATAGGAAAACATAGGATAAATGTCCCACATCTAGGTCAACACGAGAAAAATATGGAACAATATGGAAACATAGGGATATTATGGGATATTTATGATATTCATCGATGATCATGATTGTTGATTACCTGCAAGTTTCGCTCGAGATCCTTCAGGCTAAATCTGCCAGATATCGCCATGGTCAAGGTATAGCCAATGTTCACAGGATTCCCTACCAGACTTGTCTCACAAGGATGTGTGGGTTTGTCTAGTCCACTGGTAAATCACCATTATATCCATTTATATCCTTATTAGTTAAAATTTGGGGGGTATACCACTTTGTCAGACAAGCATCTTGGTTGATTTTTCGGCATTCTGCAATGCCGTCCATCTAGAAACAGTCAATTGAACGTGCCGGCAGTATTGGCCACCCAAACCTGAAAGAATGCATCGAATGTGAAAACATTTGCCTTCACCATCCTTTACCCCTGACAAATATTGGAAATGCATGGAAATGCTGGAAATATGAGGGATTCACTTGAAAAAAACAGGCGATGATTGGGCAATCCAGGTGAAATGCTGGGTCTATTCCCACCTCCGAGTGGCCTCGCATCTGTGACCCCGCACTGCGCAATGTTGCTGTACAAGGTGGCCTCCGTTCCAGTGCAGATGTCTCCAAGATTGTCGGCGACGTTTTTGTTTGACAAGTGATACCACAATATGATTAAATTATAATATATATATATATACATATTACATATTACATATTACATATTACATATTACATATTACATATTACATATATATTATACAACATAATATGATGTAGGTCTCATAATATCTTTGGAACCTTAGGTTGAACGTAGGCCCCTCGACCAATGTGCTGAGGACATGGAGATGAACAGAGTCACAGAATTTCACCTTTTTATAGGCGTAACAAGACAGCAAGACAAACGAAGACAAACATGCAGATATCTTCAGATATCATCAGATATCTGCATGTCTCTTGAGAGAATCTTCCGTCTTCCTGTCACATGGCCGACTGAGTTTCATTCAACCGTCGCGTTTCCGGATGAGTTTCCTGCGCAGTTTTCCGAACTTCCATTGAGCAGAGGTCAAAACGCAAAATGTCGTCCCTTTTTTGTTTGTTCTTTGAATCTAAGTTTAATATAGTTTAATAGTATGTGTTTATCAGCTCATGGATGATCATCACCTAATATTATCTCACCCTATCTAATCTATGTACATTTACGTACGTACATATATCAAATACTATAACATACTATAAGTGTATAGCTACCTGAATCAACAGGGGTCAACCATGGATCACCCCGCCCCTGCCATCCACAGCCTTCAGAGTCACCATTTCTTCACCTTCGCTACGCAGCACTGGATGCCCATCCGCCTTGTCCTTGAAAATCAGCCCGCTTTAGGACACGTAAATCACAGGAGTTTAGGATAGTTTAGGAGGAGTCGAGTTATCAAAAAAAAATGCCATTGCTGATTAGCTATGAAATAGGGAATTATACTACCTGGTTTAATGAAGATTATGATAAGCCATAGTAGGAAAACCTAATGACCAAACCAGTATAATGAGATGGGATAGGGGTATTCTAATGGCTCAGGTGGCGCCCCAGTTTACGATAGCCAAGTTGGTGCAAATGACTAGATTACCCATGGTTGACCGTAGATATAGATAGATAGATGGATTAGATTAGATTAGATTAGATTAGATTAGATTAGATTAGATTAGATTAGATTAGATTAGATTAGATTAGATTAGATTAATTAGTTAGTTCGTTAGTTAGTTAGTTAGTGGTGATTACAAACCTCTTGTAACTGCCGGGAACCACCTTGCATGTATATGTATATAATATATGTATATATATGAGATGAAAACTCAGGAGTAGGATGCCTGGAAACTGGCTTTTTTGGGGCCGCCAGGAGGGTTGTATCAATTTGGTCTAAGACAATATAGTAATATATATATATATATATGTATACATATTATCATATATTAAGATATACTATTACTATAATTATGTATATTGATAGATATACATACATTGTATTTATACATCAAGATCAAAAGCTTCCTCTGTGGATTCAATAGGTTTCACCAGGGAAAGAGTCAGGGTCACAGCAGCAGGTTGCTGGCCACAGCCCATAGGCCGAATAATGAAACCCACAAGAACCACATCCCGTGGGTATCTCATTTATTTTTTAGCAAGGTTTCGGGAAAGAGCCTCCGGTAAACTCACATAGCTATGAAAGCCATGGCCACGTTGGTCGACAATATAATATATATATATACATAATTATATATACAATAAAAATGGAGATGTCCAATAGCTTTGTTAAATTACCAATGGTAGTCTTCATGGCTCTTGTGATGTTGGCTCGCAAGCCTCGGGCTATCTCTGTCTCTGGGACACCGACGAGAATGGCGATGCCACTCTCATATGCAGAAATCGCCTAGCACGGCGCTGGAAAAATGTCGGAAAAAAAGAATCAGAACTATAGGTGACTTTCCTGACATTCAGAATATTCATAAAGATTCCCATTGTACACACATTAAAACTACATACACCCCACTAGTAGGGCCCCATTATCCACCATTGGAACCATAGCCTCTGGTCATGCGTGGAAAAAATCCCCGACATCCACCCAGGTCCATTTCACCAGCTATGGATTCTAAAATGGGGCTACCCGGTACCCCAAACGGACGGTTTATAATGGACAATCCTACTAAAATGGATGATTTGGGGAATTTGGGGGTACCCCTATTTTAGTAAACCTCCATATATTTTGCAGGGGCACACGGACCTCGCTATACACTGACCGTACCTCCATATATATATACTATTTATATGATTATATATATATGATTATATATGTATATAATTATATATATATATATAATTATATATATAATTATATTTAATTATATATATATATATATACATATATAATTATATATATATATCTATACATATGGGGATGGATCACAACCAAATGTTTTGGAGTTCACCAATTTGCAAGGGTTTTGGCACATGTTCATAGTTTGTCTTCATCCCCAGGCTGAGGAATCAAACACCACCACTGCGCAGAGTGTTTTAGGGATTCAAAACAACAGGGATCACCACTGTATGACATTCGTTCCAACAATAACAGTTGATTCATGCAGTGATGATCACCAATGATCACCCAAAGGGTGTTTCATATGTAATGTAATCCCTAACAGTGATTGCATAAGAATTATGATCACCCCAAGAGTGTTTCAGGTTTTTTTGTCATCAACAATTTCTTCAAAGAAGGACCAAGTGGGATAATTCACCGCACTTCCAACGTGACCAGGCCAGTCTCAACTAGTCTTTCCATTGTTTTCAGAGCTGATTTTTCCTTGTGGTACCTTCGAGTAATCTGACTTGAATAATCGTTTAGATCGTGTTCCTCCCTACTAGTATGTTAAAGAAAAAACATTTTAAGTGACATCATTATCATCATTACTGTGGTAAACAAAAAACAAAAAACCTACCATTTGAGGATCATGGTTACCACCCATTTATGGTGATACATTGGTGATGGTTTATTCTTGGGTTTACCGCAATCTGGGTAAATTACGGTGACCGAACCCTGTGACCGAATCCTGAAATGGAGGTTAGGACTAGGGAATCAATCACCATAGCTGGCCGCAAGTTTCAGGTGAGTGAAATATCACAATTTACACGGATATATTATATGGGTTGGTAGCCAGTATAAACCATTGTTAGCCATTATGATTAGCCATTGTTAATCAATATTAACCACTACTTCCCAGGAAAATTATAATCCAGATTAATGAGAAAACAACAAAACACCTGAGTTTCCCCGGCGCCTGGGCAAAGTTCTTCTGTTTCACAGCTCCATTTCCCAAAACCTTTTGCCTCGAGGATCGCGGGCGGTTTTTTGACATCACTTTAGGTGGGGTCAATAGTGGTTAATAGGGATTAATAATGATGAATGGCTAATAGTGGTTAATAGTGATTAATGGTGGTTAATAGTGATTAATAGTGGCTAATAGTACTTAATATTGATTAATGGCTAATAATGGCTAATAATGGTTCATCTTGGAAAATTATCATATTTCACGAATCTGAAATAAGATGTAAGGATAAATAAGGCTATTTTGGGATAGTTAACCGAATCCCAACCATAATTCCAGGGTTCGGTCAGAGTGAGGTCGTTATCTGGTTGGTGGTGGAGCCACCCCTCTGAAAATTATGAGTTCGTCAGTTGGGATGATTATTCCCAATATATAGAAAAACAAAAAAATGTTCCAAACCACCAACCAGTTATTTTTTTTTCACCCACATTTATGGCTGGACATTTGCTCTGCATAAAGTCTACCAACATCCTGGATATCCGAAGAAAGGTTTGGCGCGTCATGCCCAGTTGCCCGTTGAAATGGCTTGGCTTAGCGGCTAATAGACCATCCAGTCCGGTTGGTAAACCCAGTCCGTTGTTTAGTCAGTCACTAAGACAGTGTATGTCCTGCATATCTTGGAAAGGTTGAGTGGATGATCCTCCCAAATTTATCCATTATGAACCCAAGGGCAACTTGCCACCGCTTTGGAAGAAGTCGATGGTCATGGATGGTACTTTTGGGTAATCAGAGCATTTTACTTCGATGATTTTCCCAGAACTAAACATCTTTTACAGGGGTTGGTAAATGTTCTAATTGAACGTCACCCAACTATTGGGGATATACAGAAATATAATCTCCAATAGATACTTGAAAGTGATGTTCAAAATCTCCAAAATGGTACATTTACCAATTCCTGTTAAAACCTCCATTTTCATGCCAAGGCCAAGAAGCTTGCTAGCAGCCTCGATCAGCGGGATGCAATCCTCGCTTCGAAGAATTTCTGGCCATCTGATTTATGCCATGGTGAAATATGGGCTCATTTGATGGTGGAATTCTTTCAATATTATGGTTGTATTCCAACATTCTGAACTTCTGTTGAATTTTGGTCAGCTTTGTTGGCACTGTTACACTGTTGGTGAAATACACCTTTTTGGATGGTCTCAATCAATATCAATGCTGTCCTTACAGGGGAAAAATCGCTTCAGGATGGTTTACGCAAAAACACGTGGCGTGTCACCCCTCTCTTGGCAGCAACCACTGAGAAAAGGCCAACTGTGAAATACATGAAATGCATTGAAATACCGCAAACAGACCGCCTCGCATGGATAATGGATCCTAATACTGGTTGGTGGTGTCAACCATCTTGAAAAATATGAGTTCAACAATGGGAAGGATTATCCCATATACAGTATTATGGAAACATAAGAAATGTTTGAAACCACCAACCAGCTACCATCCGGTTGTTTAACATAGCCATGGAAAATCACCGTTTTTAATAGGTAAAATGGGCCATTGTCCATGGCTATGTTAAATAACCAGAGGCTAATATATTCCAATCTTGAACAACTGAATCATTCTCGCTTCATGACGGCATCCCAGAAGAGTTGCCTCCGCCATGGCCATAGAGTTCTATCAGTTTCCATGCCGAAGATCGCTGAAAATCCAATGCGAAGTGACCGCTGATTTGGGTGTGTAGAGACTGAACCATCTTTTTGGGTAAGTTTTACCCAAGTTGGAGTGTATAAAAACGTCACTGTTTTTGCAGAATTTCTTACAATGGTAGGTCCCCCAAAACCATAGGTTTTCAATCCTAAAGGGGTCAAATTTTGGATGAGAGTATCACCATTGTAGGAAATCTCCAAATAAACACAGCGCGGTGTTCCTTCATCCTTAAGCTACGTGGCCCCCAAGGGGCGCCTGCCACACCTTGCCGAGACTCAACAACCTGTGGTTGATCTTCTGCAGTCTGATCTCCAGCCATGGCTGTTTTGCTGCGGGAAGATCTAACGAAAAGTCGGTGGGAAAAATAAAAATAAAACGATATACATCATGGTTGATGCTGATTGGAGTGATACAGTATTGTTCCGTTCCTATCATGTGAAAACATCATTTCCCAGCATCTCTTTCTGATTTTTTGTGTTTTTGTGTGCACAGTGTGCTGTGGTTTCCGAATGTTTTTTCGGCGATAATAAAAGATGATGTTGTTGTTTCGTCGCCATGGTAATTGTGCTCTTATAGCATCATCACAGTTCAATACTTCGATCATCCTCTGGTTTCAGAGAAGTGTATTCGAAAGAAACGTGGGAAGAAATCTCAAGATGTCCAAAGACCACTGAAAACGCACAAGAGGTAACTATCACATTTCGGGTCTTCAAACCCATTTGGTGGTTTCCTGAAATAGGGTCATCCAATTTAATTAATGTGATTTTCCATTATAAACCAACCATTTTTGGATACCTTCATTTATGGACACCCCCATTTGCTTTTGCATGTTTTTGCCAAGTATTTCGAGACACATTGATTTTCTGCTGACTGCTGAAGCCTCCATGGAGTTGTTGTTTGCCTTAGGGGCTCCGTTTGCCAATACCTAGGAAGGAGCTAACCCGGCATCCAACCAAATGCCGCCGTTTCAGCATTCCTGGTCTCTGAAAAATTGGCATGTATAAAAGATATATGAATGTATTTGTATACATGTATAAATATATATATATATTATATACATATATAGGTCTTAGAATCAGGAAAATTTGGGAAGTAAATGAGAATTCTCCATCAACCCGTGGAACTCAGCCTTTCTCCAGCAGGTTCATCTCGATCTTCTGGACCTTCCCGATGGAATCAGCAAAATGGTTTGGATTGTGGATGTTCATTCCCAAAAATATGGGATTTCAAAGATCTTGATCCGGACCCATTTCAACTAAGGCTAACTAAGTTTTGAACTGTTCATACCTAACTTCTATAGATCTGGATAAACTACAAATTGCAATAATGCACCAAAAAAATGTGGTTATCTTGGGATACTTGCCCGAATCCTAACAATCATTCCAGCGACATCGCAGTGAGGTCGTGATGTTTTTTTTCCGAATGTATCAAATGCGTGTCTACTCTACAGGCTCAGCTGAGGTGGTTTCGATACGAACTAGACACTCGTCAAGCGTGATCATCTTTAATGGGGATGCTACAACGAACTGCACTGAGAGTTTTTCTTGCCTTCAAAACAACAAACAACATCAACTTGCCAAATTTCATCAAATTTCCAAAGTTTTCCCCAACTTTGAACATTCATTTGCTTCAAAAAATCACATCACCAGTCCGTCCCACACTGAGCCCGTCCAGGCCTCTTTTGGCTCCTTGGGCTCCTGGGAAAACGAAAACGAAAACCAGTGGACAAAGGTTCCTGGTGGCGATCAACATGCAGATCCCATACCCTCTGGGAAACTAACAGTTTGCGATTGAAAATTGCCATTTATAGATATGTCATGATATTTCTAGTTGATTTACCTTTTAAAAATGGTGATTTTCCATACTTATGTTAGTTTGCCAGAGGGTAATTTTGCATGTTTTTGCTACTTCCTTCATTTTTCATGACTCGGAAGTACCCTACTTTTTCGCACTCTTGGAAAATGGAGAAGACTTCCCATTCTCTGAATTGTACCGTCCATTTTTTCGCCTGACATGGACAATTACAGTAATGGATAATGACAATTAATGGGGGCTGTTAGATCGAAACAAGAACCACTCATGACCAGCAGATTGGCAGCAACCAGGCGCAAGTGTTTGAATCACAGCCACTTGTGATTCTTGTGAGGATTCGCACCCGAACATGTGGGCAATACTTATGTATATATCCACAGTGTCATCAGTTGAATCACCATGGCTCAACCATTTTTGCGAACAATTTCAACGAATGTCCTCAAAAATCAAGCATCGATGACCATCTATAACCATCCATAACCATCATAAATATTTCCCTTGGAATTTCAACCATTTCGTTGAATCTTAAAATTAGGCACCCCCAATATCATATGGTAGTTTTTATTTCCATGAAGCATTACCATTGTGGAGGTTTTCCATTTTAAGGCAAACAAATTTGTGGGTAGCCCCGATTTCATTTTCAGACACGCCCTTACGTAACTATAACTATAACCATAGAAAATATACGCACAGATCCGGATGTTTGCCTCCATGTTAATGGTTAACTCCACGCGCCGGCTCCATATAATGGTTAATGATGGTTACTAATTATTATAATGGTTATCATTATCACCTTATATGTTGTTAACCATGATTAATGACCATTAACAGCATCTATTAACCATCGATAAGCATCAATAACCATCAATCTGAGCAAATTACAATAATTCACTAACCTGAAATAACACTAAATTGGGATACTTCCCCTTAATTACTACAGCATGGTGCCCCTCAGTTATATGTTGGTTTATAAACCGTTATAAACCACATGAAAACTATAGTTGTATCTACCATATATTATCTATAATAAAACATAGAATTCAGCTACTTACATCTCAACTGAACGCTATCTTGGGGGCCCATCCTGTAATCAATGGTCCTTTCAGGAACCTAAATCAGAGGTACCTACCATATATAAAGCCAATTGTTTTAGCCCTAAATTTCAGGGAATATCCCCACAAAATATGGCCAAACATATGGTACTAACCTACCTTCATTTTAGGATCCTGGAACTATCAATCATATATCTATTTATATCACATATCATATCACATATTATATCACATATTAAAAATGGTATAGTTCCAATATTATAAAATTATACCACATATTATATCACATATTATAAATGGTATAGTTCCCATATTATAAATTTATACCACATACTATATCACATATTATATCACATATTAAAAATGGTACAGTTCCCATACTATAAATTTATGCCACATATTATACCACATATTATATCACATATTAAAAATGGTATAGTTCCCATATTATAAATTTATACCACATATTAAATCACATATTAAATCACATATTAAAAATGGTATAGTTCCCATAATATTAAAAATTTATACCACATATTATATCACATATCAAAAATGGTACAGTTCCCATACTATAAATTTATACCACATATTATACCACATATTATATCACATATTATAAATGGTATAGTTCCCACATTATAAATTTATACCACATATTATATCACATATTATATCACATATTAAAAATGGTACAGTTCCCATACTATAAATTTATGCCACATATTATACCACATATTATATCACATATTATATCACATATTATAAACGGTATAATTACCATATTATAGATTTTTACCACATATTATATCACATATTGTAAATGGTACAGTTCCCATATTATAAAATTATACCACATATTATATCACATATTATATCACATATTATAAATGGTATAGTTCCCATATTATAAATTTATACCACATATTCTACCACATATTATATCACATATTATAAATGGTATAGTTCCCATGTAGTTCTAGTCATCTTTATTCCAGGCTTCGGTCGTCACGATGCGCTCCTGGGGCTCCGCAACTGGCTCCGCGGACTCTGGAGCAGGTGCCGGCAACGGAAGCCGCGGACTCCGCCACCTCCGAGAAAAAACGGTTTTGGACGGTGCCTTTTTTTTAAAAAAAACTTGGAATGTCCCCAAAAACATATGTTAAATGATGTTAAATATATATATATATATATGTTTCTCTATATATATGATACTATATATGTATACATATATATATGTATATACAGTATAAAAATCTCAACTCAATTCAATGAACTATGAGAAAACCGGCAGAATTTGAAGGAAGCCGTGATGTATACCATCAACTATCGATTAAGTCCTTCATTGGTTCCGTGAAGATCTTGAAACGAATTCGGAATCAAGGACCATACCCACACATATATAAATGGTCTGTCTACCTACATAGGTAGCAGTCAGGGGATATGAATGTAATGAATAATGAGCAATCAATGAATAATGTGATAATATATGTGGTAACCATCATGAATAGTGTGGCATGAACTTATATATTATATAATAGTCATATAGCCAGTCAATTGGTATGAATACTACAATGAATAATATACCAGTTCAAATGTGGAGATGTTCCAGCCAAGTATTGCTTCAACCAACAAGAATCAGCATAGAAACAAGGAAGAATTGGCTACATACCTCAGAGATTCATGAGTATCATTCTCTGAAACTAGAGAGTAATCTATGTAACTATTCAACTTTAATCAATATATTCCAACTGCAAACAACCAGCAAAAATGGATTCTTGTGCAAACATCCCACGAGGCAAAAGATCCAACAGTCCAACACAGCCATGATCTGAAGTCACCTGAAAAATAGGATTGCAAGGCTGGTGTTTTTCTGGTTTTAACTACAATAGCTGCAAACTGCAAACTGTTCACTTGAACTTCTTCAGTGCAAATTCATCAACCGGATCAGTGAACGTTCAAAGGTCAATGTTTTTTATCAGCCATTTTCAGCACGTATTCTATGCACAACGATTACAAACAAAACCTATCAGATAAAAAAATGCCACCATAAATTCCTGGGCACGTCAGACTTACAAAATAATATACCCTCCAGTAATTTAACAGTTTGCTATGGAAGCCATGGCCAAGAAATAGTTCGATGATGTACCTATCATTTGGATAAGATGCTTTTGCACTTTGCAAACGGTCAGTGATTAGAGGGTCAAATCCGCCACGGTTAACGGATCCGGCCGTTCCAATCAGAACTGTAAGTGGTGTCCCCCACTGTGTTTTTTTTTTGTTCGTCCTTGATAAGGTTGTCCCAGGAAACAAGCTAGGTTTTAATCACACATACTAACGGCTTACTGTTTGGGATGACTCGGATGACTCTCCTAGTATCATATTTGACCTTCAGACCATATTGGCTGTCTGATTTCTTTCACCAGGCTGAAATCCTTCATCTGGAGCCATGCTGTGCTTTTGGGCCCACACTCTGGCAGTCGTCCTAAGACAC